TTTCGTGAAGGGCAAATGTGAAATCGTTTAGATAGGTGTGTCTTCTGCACACTGCCGACACAGGTTACTGATACAACACAAAAATATTTCTTTATGTGCATAATTAATCATAAAATATTAAACATGAACATCCTCGTTCCAAAGAAAGATGGTGGGCTCAGGCACATCCATGATCTCAGGCTCCTGAATCGCGCGCGGCTTAATGAGGCGGCCATTCAGGATGCTGACTTTAAAACAGGTCCTCGTGCAGGTTTGCCCAGGGGACTTTTTTTGTTTAGTTTTTTTTTTCTCAGTGGATCTGGAAGATGCTTGCTTTCATATCAAAATAGCCTCCCATCACAGGCCATTCTTGAGTTTTGTGTTTGAGGGGGTGGCTTACCAATATACAGTACAGTCCTTCCATTCACACTGTCCCTGGCTCCATGCACTTTTACCAAGTGTCCTATTAAAATCAGGTGGGACGTTTTATATGTCATTGTTGTCAAATGCATTTGTATTTTTTACTGCTGAATATGCATTTGTATTTAAGTTATCATTTTATATGCCTCCCCGAAAAAAAGATCGGGATGGCCCCACTCCCCCTTGGCCTACCTCAGCACTAATTGAATAGCACTGCACTAACCCAGCAGCTGGGTAACACAAAAACATAAAGGGGTCATCGGATACTACATGCACTTTTACAAGTTTTTTGAACTGAAATGTGTGTTGGCAGTGTGTGTACACAACCACCCTATAATGATAAAAATCCACCCAGTGTTTTTTTTTTATCTCGTTAAATAATTTCCCCTTTCTCAAATCGAGCCAATCTCAGATGCCTGTCTGTGTGACGTCACACAGACAGGCCCCTCCCACGATAGTTTGATTGACAGTAGCGTTTCAGCACAGACTGGACTGGTGTCTTACCTTAGACCCGCCCTGAGTGAGCTGTCATCAGTCCTCCATTGTTTCACCGCCAGAGCAGATAAGAATGACTCCTAAGCGATTGAGGTGTTCTGTTGTTGGATGTAATAATGAACATAGCAGTCATCATTTACTCCCGACATCTGAGCCGCTGAACTGGCAGTGAATTATATTTGTTTTTCAAGGGAATGCGCCCCCGATCTACCTAAATGCGTTTAGGTTCACGCAAATCATTTGTGATCTAGCTTCACCTCCAGAAGAAGTGAGTATAAGGTTTTTTAATTAATACTTTGCAAATCGCCTTTCCTAATAATGTGCTAATTAGCAAGTTTCATGATGAATGCGGCTAAAGTAAACAGTCCCTCAGAGAGCGGCTCGGAAGATAGGGGCAGGGTAAGTAGAGCTCATTTGCATTTAAAGGAAAATGCTACAAAATTTTGTCAGGGTAAAAAAAGGTGTTTTTTACACTACCATTGAGAAATTTTAACCAAACTATGTTACAGACTTTTCATAAAGACCCTAAAGAATCATATCAACTTGTGGAAAATGGGCATCCAATGACCCCTTTAAATAACCCCAAAAATAACCCAGCAAGCTCAAACCAGGGTTTGAGTAGAAAAAGGAACCATTAACCCTTTTAGCATATTTTATACAGTTTTTATACAGGTATATAAATATATAAAACAACATTTAAACTCACAAAACTAACAAATTTAGAAATAAAAATAAAGGACAAATAAAACTCATAATAAATGCTAATACATTCAAAATATTACACACACATTTTACTTTTACTACTTTTACTTTTATTAATCTTACTTCAAGTGTAACCTGTCCCTGTAATTGCTTTTTGACCAAAATGCTGCTGGGCTGGTGTTCGGCGAGGAACTGTGAACCTCAGACCGCCAACCGCATTTCCACTCACATATAAAAAATGTCTTGGCTAATATGGAACTGTTGGCAACCCTGACGTCATTGATGATGTTCTAATCTTGTGACAGTTTAATTATCAATCACATTTCAAGTGCACTTTTTTGAGTTTATGAATGTTAAAATGACATTCAATCAAGTCAAGTCAAACATTATGACATTAATCAATCATGTCGAATTAATGAATTTCTATCCAGGGCTTTGGAGCAGTTTTTGTTTAGTTTATGTTTGTATTGTTTTCATATTTTAAAACAGATTCAATAGTTTTGTCAGTGCTGTAGTAATGGTTTATGAACAGTCCTTTATATCTCTGTTAATACAGATGAATCTGCTAAAGCTCCACCTGCTGGATGAACATGTTATTTCACTAACAGCTCTCTCTTGCTATGACATTTGTAGAATAAAATTATTTAAAAGTTATATGCAAGATATTTCATTTTTATTACTTTATACTTCCTTTTGTACATTATTAAATAAAGGTGCTTTATATATTCCTTAAAATGTTCTGCCTCATGTTGACCTTTAAAAAAATAGACTGTCATGGGTTGTTTGCAGGCAGGAAAATCTTGAAGGCGGTGAACCGATGTCATAACAAATGTCACTAGACTGGGAAGATTTTAAAACGAGCGCTTCATTCATAAATTAGTACAACTTTACCTTCATGCTGTGTAAATACAAAGAGAAGACAGAACGAGCAGCGCTGAATCGGAGACCTCGCCGCATCTGGTGTAACAGCAACACTGATTATAATGGGCTCTATTGTCTTGTGTCATATCACTTTGCATGACATGTTGTAAATGGAACCATTTTAACAAATCAGATAGCTATCTAAAAACGCATGAAGTGACCTGGTGTAAACAGGCCCACAGATGACTTGAAAAACACTGAAGTGGTGTAATATTCAGTAAGTTTAAGACTTAATTAAGTCGTAACCATTAATCTCATCATAGCTGTGGGTGTTTCCATCGAAAACAATCAGTTAAACAGTTCAGGAAGATGTTGACCACAAGTGGAAAAAAAACACTCAGTGTGAAATGAGAAGCTATGAAGAAAAGAGCTGACAACAACCACATAAATGTGTGAACTTTAGTCTATATTCTACACTGCTCTTAATTCGACTTTTATCTCTCATCATGACTATTTTAACACATTGTTGCATTCATGGCTGTTAAAGCCCATCAGTTTTCTAACATATATTGATCCACAGATGTTTGAGCTGATCAAGTATCTTCATTATGTTCAGCGTTTAAAATCATTGTTTGGTTTAGTCAGTGTTTTTATGCTCCCCACAAACCATAATCAAACTCCAGACCAACTAAATCAGTGGCTCCCAACCAGCCCCCAACACTGCGTAAGGAGACAAGCAAATTATGCAGTGTTGGGGGCTCTAGAAACGTAGTTGGAAACCACTGAACTAAACCACTAACATCAGCTGCATTTGATTCACTTACCACATGAAAAGTTTTTCAGCAAGACAACTGACGTTAAAACAGCAACAAAACAGGTATTTTGTGCAAATATAGTAACAAATGATCAATTGGGAGTAGATGAGAGAGAACAACTGTAACTGTAGACACACTTTAACCTTTTAACATGATGTAGTTTAATGAGCTTCTGCTAAAATAAATGATGATAAGAAGTTCTGCAGGAAACTTAAGCTTTCAAAAAAGGTCCAGTTATTTCTGCCTGTTTGTATGTGAACGTGTGAGAGAGAGATAACCAGAGCAGAAACTTACCAGTGCATTAGAAAGTTTGTTTTTAATACTGAAAAAGGGCATTTAAATCACTTCACATATTATATTCCTATTTCAAAATTTTAGAGTGCTTGTGTAGACCTCAGGCATTTGTATTTGTGTTTTCTTGCAGAACTTGAAGAAAACTAAGAAGGTTACCAATTGCTGTTGACTCTCTCCATCTTATTACCAGTTTATTACCAGTTTAGCAGCTGCTGTCGTAACTTTTACGTTGTGAGCTTTAGACGTTGGTACTGCTGGTGAAGGTCTGCACATGAGCAGTGTTGGGGAAAGTTACTTTTAAAAGTAATGCATTACAATATTGCATTACTCCCTAAAAAAGTAACTAATTATGTTACTTAATTACTTTTTATAGAAAGTAATGCGTTACGCTACTTTTGTATTACTTTTTAAATCTGAGCTGGGCTTGCTTGTTTTTTTTTTTATATTAAAAAGTTATATTTTTGTCAAATGTAAAAGTAATTTTACAAATGCATGAACTAGCTTTTCTGCATCAGAAACAGGTAACATGTTTCGTAACTTGGCAATGTTTCTAATATCATATGTCATTATGCGACAGAGGAAGTTTGCGCTCCAGACAGTCGTGAACACACTGAGAACAGTTTGCCTAGGCTGCGGATTAAAGGTAATAATGTTGTAAATAATATTCAGTTTCTTGCACAGAACGATCGTTTCACTTCATAAGAACTCAGTGTATCATCAGGAGCCACAGGTATTAATTTGGTCTTGCCTGTATATGTGTCACACTTAGCCTAAGGAAAGGAGCGAGGAACGAGGAGACAAGGCGTAAACGAACACAAAGTCTTTTAATCCAACAATCCAGGAAGGACCACTTGGCAGACGGGAACACAGGAAACACATGTGCTGACGTTCAATCTCCGACAAATACAAACTGAAAGAACTGGGGCTTATGAATACAGGATAACTGAGGAGGCACACCTGGAATCAAATTAACAATCTGGGGAACACAGGTGCATAGAATGACTAATAATCGGGGACAAGGAACACATGGGGAGGGAAAACACAACACAATGAGTCCAGGGGCGTGACAATATGCTTGTTTGACTCTAAAACAAAAGGACAACGGTTTCACCTAAAAAAAATCTTCTTAAAAAGTCACCTACACTTTGGACGGCCTGAGGGTGAGTAAATTTTCATTTTTGGGGTGAACTATCCCTTAAAGGCACTATTCTTTGTAAAGCAGAAAGATTTGTATTGTAAAAAGTGATATACACACACAATAGAAGTGAAAAAATATAGCTAAAATGTACACTGTATTCGTTTATATTTAAAGGAGCATTTACATTTGATAAAAATTTATTTATAATAATTTAAATGACATTTATTCAGAAATATATTGATAAATATACTCAAAGCAGTTCAAGAGCATTTCCACTGTCCTCAGTATCTGATTAATCAGAGTTTGATGATGTTGTCTTCTCTCTTCTGATAAAGGCTTCTGGATCTGAATTCATAAACCAGCACAGCAACAGCATCCACACCCACCAGAGCAGAGAGAGCCAATCGGATCACAGCTTCAGTAAAACCACAGCAGCTGATATAGACTTCTGAGAAAAGAAATGAACAATGTTGAAACATAATTATGATTCATTTAGTTTTGTGGAAAAACATAGTGCCACTGCTGTAAGGCTGGAAGAACCTCAGACACTTTGATCTCCTGAGATACGGGCAATACAAACACAGTGCATTTATGTACAGACGTGTTTCCACAGCTTCTTTCTCACCTATACATTTGTTCTTTTCCCCCCTACTTCCTTCTCTTTATCCATCCTTCCCTTCACTCAGCTCACTCAGAATGGTCAACAGCATAACATAATGTTCTACATGAATGCAAGTGATATTCACAGTCATGTCCGGTATCATTTGAAACGTCTCAGTACGACTGGTACAACTGTCTCAATCTTACAAGAAGTAGACTAAAAGGTAATACAGATCCTAAGAGTTTAGAGATATTTTGCTCACTGTAGAGGGTGTGTCATTTCCCAGTGTCTGTCCCCAAAAGGTGTAAACTATACTTGATCACTGCACATTCCAATTGTAAGTTCCTGTCTCCATTTGGAGGATATTTGTCTTGGTCTGAGTACTTAAAGAAAAGTTGCAGGAAGATCAGGTGCGCTTCTGTAGCCAGATGAGCCCGTAGTGTGGAGTGTGTCCATATACTCCACACTAGGTATCTTTCTGAATTCAGATATGCATCTTAGTATGTACTAGATCTCAGGTTATATGGAGCATAGGGCACATCTGGTGAGTTTCTAGATTCCTGACTAACTGCTTGACTTTAGTTTCTATGTATTTTCCTGAAGTCAGGTATGCATCCTTTGCTCTTAGATTTATCTTTGAGAATTTGATGTCTTGTAATGATTTGATATCTTTGAATTGATTAGATAATTGGCATAATACATATTTAACTGACTGATAATAAATTGTTACATTTGATTTTATTCTGACTTACTCTGAAATTATTTTCTCAAGTAGATTAAATGAAGGCATATGTTTCCGCAAATCTGCATCCAGGGTTAAGTACATGCATCTCAGGTTAGATAGAGCATGGGGCACATCAGGTGAGATACTAGATTTCTGACTAACTGCTTGACTTTAGTTAAGTTGTTATGCAGTTGCATTAACTTTGGGGGGCAAGACAAAGATACTATTGAAGTATTAGCAAGCATGGGGCGGCATACTTCATAGTACTAGCCATAACCTCTGGTTATTGTATCAGCTTTATTCAAGTTGTTATGTAGTTATATTAACTATAGGGGGCTAGATAAATATACTATTGAAATATTAGCAAGCATGGGGTGACCAACATATTTACTCTGTAGTTACAGTGGGTACGGAAAGTATTCAGACCCCCTTCAATTTTTCACTCTTTGTTATATTGCAGCCATTTGCTAAAATC